GCAAAGACAGGTCAAAGGTCAATAGAACAGTTTCTGGTTGATATTGAGAAATTATTCTGTTAGAGTATAAATGTGCATATTGTAAATATTTTGTTAAAAAAGCAACTCTATACGACCAGTGGTTGCCAAGATATTACAATCACGCAAAGTTGAGGTCAAAGGTCAAAAACACAATTTCCGGTCAATTCTAGAGAAAATTGTCCATTATAGTAAATATAAATATGCATGTTTTAAACATTTTGCTGCAAAAAGCAACTCTGTACGACTAGTGGTTTTCAAGATATCGCTCCCTATATTTCCACCCCTATTTTGCATATTTATGCTAATAAGGTCGGCAAAATGGCACTTCCGGTCATTTTTGAAGAAAATGTTCCATTAGGGTAAATAGAAACATGTATGTTCTGAACAACTTTAAGAAAAGAAGCAACTTTCTACGACATGTGGTTACCAAGATATAGGTACCCTACATTTTCAGACCTAATTTGCATATTTCAGCTAACTTGCATATGAAGATGAGCGTAAAAAAAATTGGCGACTCATTTTATTCGATTCAGCATACTTCAAAGTATATAATAAAAAACAAAAAACAAAATGATCACAAAATTCCCACGGGATGACATAAGCCACCGGACTAAATAGGCCAAATTAAACACAGATATGGCATGTGGTATCAGTGGTATTAAATTGTGTTAAAAATACCTTTAAAATTATAATATAAGCCTATGGTATATCATCGTATACACAATAAAGTTATAGAAGCCATAAAAATAGTTCCGAAAAATGTAAATTTTAGATTTAAATATCAATAATAGGAAATCCTGGCTTAAGAACTCGGACTGAAAAAAATACTTCAATGTTAAACAATAAGTAAACGCACGCGATAAGATAAGTAAATGATTTAATATTTTTTAATGTTTTAATCTTGTTTGTTATATTGATTTTTAATTTTTGTTACTACCATCGTGTATTGACCAGTATGCTTGTTTCCGTAGTTCTCGACGCCGTTAATGCGCGTTGCATACTACGCCGCACCCGACGACATAATGCTAACAATGATTGCGAAAGCTTCAGTGGAGAATTTAGAACACAAGGTTAGTGGAATTAAAAATCATTGTATTTGATATAAACTAATAAACTAAACACACATCATATATAAGTACCATACAATAAACAAGGGAACATTAAACTTAAAGTAGACTACGGTGATATACTGTATATTTTTAACTAAACATTTTATTTTTATTTCATGATTTATTTTTTTTTAAACATTGAAAAGCCTTTGTTATGGAAATGATCTAAATATATAAACATTGAAAAAAAAGGTTTGCAGTAACAGATAATAATCATGTTTGGATTTATATTGATCGTTTCTGTTTACTTGATATATTTGTGACAATGCAATTGAATTTTTACACAAAACTTATATCGCTAAAATTTTCATTTTAAAGATAGGCCAAATTGATTAATGTGTGTAAAACATAACCATTTTGATTTCAACATTATTTGCGTGATTTTAATAGAAAAACCTAATTTAAAAGACATTGAATTCAGTTCCCATTATCTAATAACGATAAATGTGATAAGCAAAGTAACTGTGATGTTTCTGAGTTGTTTTTTTGTTGTTGTTGATATGTGGTGTGTGAGTTAGTAGTTGTTTTTGTATTTTTTGTTATCATACTCTACTTTTCTCTTGTTGTAGCGTCCTTCTGGTTTAACTATTCTCTATTTCTTGGCGTACTACGCTCGCGTGACTCCACTGAGAAGCGCGTTACAAAGAACGAAGAACGCCAACGTGACAAACAGAGTGAGTACAGTAAAAGAAAACAACATTTTATCAAAGAGTATAAAACTGCAAGAGGTCCGACTGCCAGGGATTCTTTGGAACGCAATCCTATTTCAAAAAGAACTACTCAAAGGGGGCGTGGCCTTAACAGACGTTCGATGATCGAACGTGTGCTGCGTGCATGTTCGAGATTCGAACTCTATTCAAATAGGGCGCCCCCTATTTTGTGGTAGTACTTTTTTGACATTCCATTGCCTGCATACAAAATCATGGCAGTGGGACCTCTTGCAGTTTTATACTCTTTGACTTTATTCACTGTAAACAAATTAACATCATAAAATTCACTCACAATTCTAAAATAAAAGCATCACATTCTAATCTAGTAGTATTCTTGTTCATGTACTTAGACAAAATATAGGCTTATTAATTAGAACTGATATTGTTAGTCCCATAATTAATATTAGTTTACCATCATCATCATCGTCATTATCATCATTTTATCAATTAATAGCATTACCATTGGCATTATAAATAATATTATTATTGTATCTGTATTTTTCATTACCACTGTTAATATAATTATTATTAGTAATATTATTGTTATCATTATCATTATTATATTACACATAATAATTAAATTCTCGTCCATATTATTCCTAAAATGAGCGATAATTCGGTATGATAATTCTCAATTATTTCCGTAATGCTTGTGTTGTGCGTGTATAACAAACTTGACATTGATTAGCATTTAATTGCAGGATGGAAACACACTACTACATGACTGTTTACGTGCTCCGCGTACTTACGATCAACATCGACAGACAGCCATGTGCCTGATGGTGCATGGCTCCTCCATATCTATAAAAAATAGGGTAATGTACAGAAAAATGAAATGCATCAAAAAGTATCAGTCAATGACGCTAATACAACAACTGTATAGACCAACGTTTTTATTAATCAAAACCAACATAATAAATATATTCTAATTAAAATATAAATAATTAACAGATAAGGATATTTGGATTTTCAAAATTATCTTTTTAGTACTGATAGATTTATGTTAATTTATATAGTAGCTGTAAATTAATCGAAGTGGATAGTGTTAGTTATTTGTTATTATCTACTACTTTCACCAATCTTTTTGATTATGTTTATATAATTAACTGTGTTGATTTGACAAGCAACTTCACTGTGTTGATTTAATTTGCAACAGCCATGCAATGAAACGTGTGCTCGTGTCTGTTATTACAGAGAGGAAAGACGCCGCTTGATGATTATAATTTTAACGAATGTAGAGAATACGAAGAAACCACGAGAAGTGAAAAGAAGCAATCTCTTAGAAAGTTACTTATAGGTAAGCTTATATTCAAATAATAATATTAATATTAATTAATAATTAAATTATTAATTAAAATTATTAATTAATATTATTATTATTAATAATATTATTATTAATAATCAATTTTATTTTATTTAAATGATTGTGACTGTTTAACATAAAATTCAAAAGTTTTTATTACACATTATGTTATTCGTAAATGATTATTATTGTTTTTACTTTGCCCGTTTAATGTTCATTATTTTGACAACGTTGCTTCCGTGGTGAATAATTAACGTAGAAAGTGAATATATTATACAGACGCTGTACAAAAAAGACATTAAACATTCAAGATATTTAAACTGTATTAATAATTCTGTCTTTTGTATCAAAAAGAATTGTCAGTACCCGGTGAAATTAAAGCTAGGGGCGAAACTGCAGTTAAAGCCTTCGAATATGAAATGCAAAATGGTGAAATTACGGTAGTTAATGCAAGATTCATGTTTATGGGGAAGGAAGGAGCCGGAAAGACCTCCTGTATAAATCACATCCTTGGAAAAGCGTAAGTACAGAAGGACTATTTACTTTTACGAGATATTTTATATTAAAAAAGTATTTGCATTTAAAAGATGTCTTCCCTGCAACGGTGTAGGCCTACTGCAGTTATTTCGAGCAACGAGTACGGTAGTCTGTTGTACGGAAATCATTTTTTATACTCTTCCCTTCGTCGAGGGTTTTAAAGTTTATGCGTGCGCGTTTCATATCTTAGTAACCGAATAATAATCATATGGGCGGCCATAATGGTCAAAATAGACAAAAAGTCGCCGTATTACAAATCCAACCACGTAACGGTTGGATTTCACAGGAAATACATGCAGTGGTCGCAATAAAGCTTTCGTTCTCAAAATCATGTCTTTTTAAAAAAAATATTTTTAAATTCTAGTTAAATTAAAATTTAACAATTTTATATCCATAATTAAATGTTAAAAGTTCGATAATTCTATAATTCTTCTATGTGCCTACCTTTGAATGTTTGCAATTAAAAGTTTCTCGATAGCGGTCAGTGCGAACCATTGCCGGTCAGGGCTGGCGCCAGCAGAGGGGTGGCGGGGGCGGGGCGCCGATGGGCTCCGCCGGTGCGAAAAAACACAATGTGTCGGGGGAAAAAAAAAATTAAATATATTTTCTACATTATTAGTAGACACTAAAATCATTTAAATAGGCCTAAGCCTTTGAAACCACTAAATTGTCAAATTTCGGGGGCTTTTTCCCCTGGACCACTTTTGAAACATTTTAAGCGACACTCGACAAAGCCCACTTTTCTCTCGGGCAAATGCTGACGCCACCCCTGCTGCCAACCACATTCTGCCGCTTCGTTCAATATAACCAGCAATAATTGCAGAGTGGAGAGCATGAGCGAGATCTTTTAGAATCCTACTAAACTTTAATCTCACCCTGTCACTGTATAGACAAAGCCAACCGACGGCACACACTGGCCCACATCCGTTCCGCATTATTGACGTGATGTCTTACCCGTGATAATTCTTCCCCAGCACACTAAGCTCAAGGCACAACACATTTTTGAATTATAGAGAGTGACTGAAATATACGTATTAACGCTAAAACATTTAGGTTTACCCTATAGGCAGTACGTGTGAGCGTAAAGTTTGTTGATAATATAGTCAATGCGGTTTCCCGTGCCCTATGAGAGTGAACAGTCGAATACAACTCGAAGATACCGGTACGTCCTTATATGAAGCAATTTGTTCCACTCTGCTCATTTTTGATACAGATGATATCTCTGCAATCACCCTTCTAACAAAAATCAACAACGATCTCTTTTTGCTTTTGTTTAAAATGAAGCTCAAGGAAATTGTTCCCACCGTACACTCTGGCGCGGATCAAACGTGCCACCCCCACCCTCCCCCTTACCGTTTTTGCCACTATATTCTTAAATGTTAATGCTATGTATTGAACTAAGAAAAGAAAAATAATACAAATATAAAATGTTTCAATATTTCGTAATACATAATTACGCCATTTATTGTTATCTGTCGGTTTAGTTGCGTACTCTTAGATTGAAATATATATATAATATTGAAAATATTGAAAATGTAGAACTTGTAGAACTGGGTATTATCACTCTACAGACTGTTTCATGCTAATGCAATCTTCAGGAGTGAGAGAATACAAGGATTGCGCGAGTATATGAATGCTAAGACAGGTGAAAATGCAAATGAGTTAATTGTTTTTAAGTAGGTATTTGTTGCTGTGCCTGCATTTAGACAATAGCTCGGTTCTTTTGTTTAGCGTTGACTGTTTGTCTGAATATATTATGTGAAGTTTCTCGGTTATGCACAGGTTGCAGCGTTTTGTTTTTGGGGAGTAAGCCGATGCTCTGTCGAGACCATTTAATGTTGTAGGGTGTGTTGCTATCTTTTAATTTCCATACGTATTTAGAGAGTACGGTGCTGTTTCTGTGTTTGGGGGTGTTAAAAGTGTATTTGTGGTTTGTGTATCGGGTTTTGAACGGTGTGTCAGTGAGCCCGATGTAGCATTTTTTGTCATCATTTGAGTAAACAGTGGCTTTGTAGATGATGGATGAGGTGAGGCAATTTCCAGAGAGTGGACATTCATCTTTTTTCCTGCAATTGCAGAGAGTTTTTGGCTGTTGTTGCTTAGCAACCAGAAGCTGTTTGTTGTGGGCTTTGATTATACCGCCCATGTTTCTTGAGCAGCTATAGCTGACTTTGACATTGTTCTTGTTAAAGAGCTTATGTAAAATGTTGCCACTCGGGAAATGCTTTTTGACTAGGTTAAGGAATGATTTTCCGATGTTGGTTTTCACTCCTTTGCTGAATGGTGGGTTGTACCAGATTATTTGTCTGCTTTTATTTTTCTTTGAAGATTTTGGTTGTGGAGGCTGGTATTCCATTTTGTGCTGGAATCCGCTGTTTTGTAGAGCTTGTTCCTAGTCAGAGGCGGCCTGATGGAATGATTCACTGAATGGAATACCAGCCTCCACAACCAAAATCCTCAAGAACAATGTCAAAGTCAGCTATAGCTGCTCAAGAAACATGGGCAGTATAATCAAAGCCCACAACAAACAGCTTCTGGTTGCTAAGCAACAACAGCCAAAAACTCTCTGCAATTGCAGGAAAAAAGATGAATGTCCACTCTCTGGAAATTGCCTCACCTCATCCATCATCTACAAAGCCACTGTCTACTCAAATGATGACAAAAATGCTACATCGGGCCCACTGACACACCGTTCAAAACCCGATACACAAACCACAAATACACTTTTAACACCCCCAAACACAGAAACAGCACCGTACTCTCCAAATACGTATGGAAATTAAAAGATAGCAACACACCCTACAACATTAAATGGTCTATCATCGACAGAGCATCGGCTTACTCCCCAAAAACAAAACGCTGCAACCTGTGCATAACCGAGAAACTTCACATAATATACCGGTATTCAGACAAACAGTCAACACTAAACAAAAGAACCGAGCTATTGTCTAAATGCAGGCACAGCAACAAATACCTACTTAAAAACAATTAACTCATTTGCATTTTCACCTGTCTTAGCATTCATATAC